ACCCCGCATCTCTTCCTGTTCCCTAAACCCTGAATCGCCCTAGGGCTCATTTCTTGGTGCTCTTTTCTCTTCTCCCTCTGTGCTCCTGCACTTTGAGCCCATAGTGGTTCTTAGGCTTTACATACCATTTTCACATGGAACACTCCCGAATGTTACATCTCGAGTCCCCGTCCCTTTGTCCACCAGACATCTCCACTTGTACAGCTCATGGGCATCTGACTTGTCGAAAGCCGAGACATATGGGTTGGGTAGAGTGAACCACCTCCCCACCAGTGATGTGGGTGGGATTCAAGGCCTCCCCCGGGCCCCTTTAACTGGACCAGAGCCCACGAAGCGACCAAATCTGGGCTTTGGCAACTCTTCAGCTCGTCTCTGCAGTCTCTATCTCTGTACTCCCCATCTTAACGTAACACTTGCCTCCATAATTGCCTTTTTTATACCATTTGACACCCCTCTGAGAGAGCGAGGTCATTTCCGTTGTGTAGATGAGGAAACTGAGACCCAAAGGACTTCACTTATTTGCCTGATGCCATGCAGCTCATTAGTGGGAGGGAAGAAGGAGGAGGTGGCCCAGATCTGACTGCCTGCAGGCCCGGGGTTCATCCCACCCCATTGCCCTAGGGTGCTTTGGGGAGGAAGAATAGCGTCCGTGGTGTAGACTTTGTCTCAGGGACACACAGTGCTAGATGACAAGGTGGACACACCGACCCCAGGGATACCTTCCCTGGCTCTTTCCACACAACAGCCAAATGCTCTGATCCTCACCCTTAGTGATGAAGACTCCTGCCCCAGGCAGAGGACCCCCTCAGGTAGACCTGTGGATCGTGCGGAATGGCAGCTGGACCTTGGGAAAGAGGTCGTCTCTTTGGGCTTCAGGGCACCCAATGGCAAAAGGAGCCGGTGGATGCATGAGGGTTCTCTCTGCACTTCTCAGCCCTTTTGCTAACCCCAGAGTCCTGAGGCTGTTGTTGCGCGCATGCTGATGGATGTATGCACTGTCTGTCCTTAGGAGGCCCCAGAAGGTTCTGCAGAATCCTGCCCCCGACCCTCTCTCTGACCTCATCTCCTGCCCCTCTGGCTCTTGCCTCAGCTTTCCAGCCAAGAGAGCTTCCTTGCTATTCCTCACATCTTCCACGGTGCTCCCAGCTAGGCCTGCCTGTTGGACGATCTCCACTCTCTGCCTGAAATGCTCTCCTTGGATATTAATATCCCTCAGCTCTTCAATATATTTTTGTTCCTGTTCAAACACCATCTTTCTTGATAAATCTGTGAAAATGCTCTCCGAAAAAGCACTCCTATCATTTTGTTTAAAAATTGGTCTTCCTAGCATTTATTGCTACTGTAACTTATATATCTATTTGTTTACTTTTTATTGTCTGTCTCTATTTCTCTATTGCCCCATAAACATAAAGAGTTTTTAGTTTTACTCTCAGCTATTTTGGGAAGTAATTTCAATAGCTTCTCAATAAATATTTGTTGGATGGATGAATAAATGTTATAGCCCCCACTGACCTTTACACTATGTGATATTAATGAAAATTAAATTGGCAGTTTGTATAGTCCGAACCAGAAGGGAGTAAAGAATTTTCGCACGGGGTCCCGTTAGAGAGCGATTGCAGTAACTCACCTGTAGATCGATTGCGACCAAAATAATGACGGTAGAAGTAATGTCATAGGGCCTTTTTTAAAAATGGAAGACACACATTTTTATTTTGTTTTATTTGTGTTGTTACTTCATTCTCCATTTTCTACATTGAGAAGAACAAAATAAGAAAAGAGAAAAAAAAGACATTATCTCCAGTGATGAAATGGAATAGCTCTGACTTCCAATCAACTATGATATATATATATATATATATATATATATCCTAATATTGTAAATGTGAGTCAAAATAAAAGAGAGAACTTGAGACTTCGTAGCTAAATCGTCAAACCTCAGGCAGAATAAAATATATTTACTTAAAAATAAGGACCAGCGTCCTAAAGGTGATCTTTAGTTAAGAGTTGTCTTTAGGATATGGATGGACCATGAAAGAAATTTGTGCTGATCATCTTGAATTTCCACGTGACACTTCTGGAGAGTGAGAATTGCCTGACATAGAGTTTTTACACCATGGCCTTCAAGCTTAGGGAAGTTTCTATGGGCCCAGGAATGTGAAGGGAAGATATGTAAAAATTGAAGACATCAGTCTCTTACTCATGGGTTTTGCTATAAACCTTACCAATTTCTTGAATACCAAATACTAAGGGAGATACTCTTTTGTGTCAATGACTAGTAGATAATTCATGAAGAATTGTTTGTAAAAATCCTCAGTCGCAGTTATGAACTGTGTACCAATTGTTTGCCCTCCGTCAAACTGAAGCACAATCTTACAGTTACGGAAATGAAAACTGCATTAGAAAAACAGAAAAAACGGAGTGGATATACAACAGAAAACTACACTAATTCCATGGAACATAGGTGACTGGTCGTGGGTAATAATGGGTTTTAAAGCAGTGATATCTTTGGAGGACAAAGGAGGTCTAATTCTTAATGTTCTCAAAAACAGAATAGAACAATGGAACAGGGGGGAAAAAAAGGTTGGAGATAAAAAAAAAAAAAAGCTTTCCTGAAATAGTTTGTATCTGTAAATGGAAAGAACACTAAACATCCAATTTCCTACGGAGGTGGGGTACAGAATCACGGTAAGGAGTGAGGGAAGAGAGGAGAGCCTAAGTACTAATTTCCTCACTGTTCAGAGCAAGGAGAAAATCATATGGTCTAATGGTGAAATGTTGGCTTCAAAAATCGTACTGATTACAACCTTAATATTTTTCATAATTTTTGAAATCAGAGGTACCATATCATAGTTTCTCTTATTTTTAACAAATTTTGTCTGACACTTACAATTCATTCTTTTTACTACATCCCTATCCCTAATATAAATTCAATATATTTTGCTAAAAATTAAAAATTAAAAATTTTTAAATATTTAATTTTTTTCACTAAAGATAAAACTTTTATTATTTTATTTACATGTGTTACATTTTTTATATGAGATTTACTGTCATATTGGTTTGCATACAACACCCAGTGCTCTTCCCAACAGGTGCCCTCCTCAATGCCCATCACCCACCCCCCATCAACCCTCAGTTTATTCTCAGTTTTTAAGAGTCTCTGATGGTTTGGCTCCCTCCCTCTCTAACTTTTTTTTTTTTTGTCCTTCCCCTCCCCCATGGTCTTCTGTTAAGTTTCTCAGGATCCACATAAGAGTGAAAACATATGGTATCTGAACTGGAGGGTGTTATGCTAAGTGAAATAAGTCATACAGAGAAAGACAGATACAATATTTGATATCTTAAAATCTTATTTTTTGTCTATTCATTAATCTACCTATCAAGATATATGGATAAATATGTAAAATGATGTTTAACATATTTTAATGACAAGTGCTTCTGCACAGTGAGTTTTTGGTGATTTTTTTTCTCTTTCCCTTTTTTTTCCATCTAATGTTACAAAATAATAAAAAAAAGTTGTTGAATAGGATGGAACTAGAGAACTATCAGGAAGTCCTAGGAATGATTAAAGATCAGTCAGGAAAGCAAGATTGGTCTTGATTATTAACCTGGGGAATCTGGAGAGGCTCTATCCTGTTCCCTTCATCAATTTTCCTACTTAGTGCCCCAACACCACACTTTCTTACTTATTCTAAGTGTAGAGTAACTCTTGAAACATTGCCAGTCCCCTGACTTTGTCCTTCTGCCTCCCCATTGTGTTGACTATTAAGCCTTTGCCCTTCCATAAATAAATAAATAAATAAATAAGAATTAGTTTATTGATATCCACAAAACAACTATTGGGATTTTGTTTCGGACTGCATTCAATCTATGGATGAACATGGGGAAAACTGACATCTTGACCATATTGACTCTTCCTACACATTGTTATGCACTATCTCTCCATTTATTAACATGTTCATTGCATGAGAGTTTTACAATTTTCATTGCCTTAATTTGGGGCAATTTTTTAAAGATTTTTTTTTTTTTAGATTTTGTACTAAATTATTTCATTTATTTTGTGCTATATAAGTGATATTGTGTTTTTAATTTCAAATTGCAATTGCTCCTTACTGGTATATAAACATTAATTGACGAATCTAGTATCCTGTAACCTTGCATTAACCATTTATTTGTTCCAAGAAGGTTTTATTTACTTTTTTTTTTTTTGAGATTTTCTCATAGACCACCATATTATCTGTGAAAAAGAACATATTTCTTTTGTCTTGTCATATATATATATATATATAGTCTAAAATAATAAAATAAAAAAAATTTATTTCTTTTTCTTGTGTAATTAAATTCTACGGGAATTACAGTATGATGTTTCCAATCTTAGGGGGAAAGCCTCTAGCTTCTTACCATTAAGGAAAATATTAACTGTAGGTGTTTCATAGTTGTTTTCTGTCAACTGGAGAAGATGCTCCTCTACTGCTAATTTTCTGGGATTTTTTTTTTTTTAATTTTTTTTTTCAACGTTTATTTATTTTGGGGGCAGAGAGAGACAGAGCATGAACGGGGGAGGGGCAGAGAGAGAGGGAGACACAGAATCGGAAACAGGCTCCAGGCTCTGAGCCATCAGCCCAGAGCCCGACGCGGGGCTCGAACTCACGGACCGCGAGATGGTGACCTGGCTGAAGTCAGACGCTGAACCGACTGTGCCACCCAGGCGCCCCAGGGTGCCTGCTATCTTAACCACTTTTTTTTTTTCAACATTTTATTTATTTTGGGGACAGAGAGAGACAGAGCATGAACGGGGGAGGAGCAGAGAGAGAGGGAGACACAGAATCGGAAACAGGCTCCAGGCTCTGAGCCATCAGCCCAGAGCCTGACGCGGGGCTCGAACTCACGGACCGCGAGATCGTGACCTGGCTGAAGTCGGACGCTTAACCGACTGCGCCACCCAGGCGCCCCAAGGGATTTCTTTTTTTTTAATCGTGAGTATTGAATTTTGTAAAATGTTTTTTCTGCATTGGCTAAAATGGTCATATGATTTTTCTGTTTCAGCCTGTTGATGTCATGGGACAGGCCTTCATTTCAGAATGTTGATCTAGCCCTGCACACCTGGTGTCAGTCTCACTCAGTTGTGATTTATACTTCTTTTTACACGTCGATTTTGATTTGCTGATATTTCACTGAGAGTCTGCATCTCTGTTCAGGACAGATTTTGGTCTCTCATTTTTCTTTCTTATAATATCTTTGTCCAGTTTTAGTATTATGGTAATGCTGACTTTGCAGAATGAGTTAGGACGTATTTTTTCTGCTTCTGTTTTCTGGAAGAGATTGTAGAGAATTGGTATCATTTCTTCCCTAAATGCTTGATGGAATTCACACTGAAAGCTTCTGGGCCTGTGCTCTCTGTTTTGGAAGGTTATTCACTCTCTCTTCCCTTTCTGTAACAGAAATATGCCTTTTCAAATTGTCTATTTTTTTAAATTTTTTTAACGTTTATTTATTTTTGAGACAAAGAAGACAGAGCATGAATGAGGGAGGGGCAGAGAGAGAGGGAGACACAGAATCTGAAACAGGCTCCAGGCTCTGAGCCCTCAGCCCAGAGACCAACACAGGGCTGGAACTCACGGACCGCGAGATCATGACCTGAGCTGAAGTCGGACGCTTAACCGACTGAGCCACCCAGGCGCCCCTCAAATTGTCTATTTATTGATGGTGTGCCTGGCTGGCTCAGTCAGAGTGGCATGCGAAGCTTGATCTTGGGGTTATGAGTTCGAGCCTCACATTGCAGGTAGAGATTAATTAAACAAATAAATAAACTTTAAAAAAACACAAGTTGTCTAATGTTTCTTTTTTTTAAAACTGTTTAATGTTTATTTATTTTGGAGAGACAGAGAGAGAGAGAGACAGAGCATGGGTGGGGAAAGGCAGAGAGAGGGAGACACAGAATCTGAAGCAGGCTCCAGGCTCCCAGCTGTCAGCATAGAGCCCAAAGCGGGGCTCGAACTCATGAACCATGAGACCATGCTCTGAGTTGAAGTCGGATGCTCAACCAACTGAGCCACCCAGGTGCCCCTGTAATGCTTCTTATGTAAATTTCAGTTTCTTTCGAGGAACGGGTCCACTGTTTCTAAGTTCTCAAATTTCTGGACATAGAGTTATTCATATTTTCCTTTATTATCCTTTTAACATTCATGGGATCAGTAGTGGTGGGCCCTCTTTCGTGTCTGATATTGTTAATTTACATCTTTGCTGTTTTGTTTCTTCATTAGCTTGACTAGATGTCTATCAATATCATTGATCTTTTCAAGGAAAAATCTTTTAGCTTTGTTGATCTTTACTGATAGCCCGTCTTCAATTTTACTGATTTCTGTTATACTGTATCCTTTCTTTTCTCGTGTTTATTTTGGGTTTAGCATGTTCTTTATTTTCTAGTTTCCTAATGTGGAAACTTAGATTATTGATTTGCAATCTTTATTCTTTTCTACTATGCACATTCAGTGCTAAACATTTCCCTCTTGGCACGGGTTTGCAATATGCATTTATAAGTATTTCACATCTACTGTCAAATAAAACTGTACCACCTCAGAGGTGCTGTGGGTGTACCAGGTGTCCTTCATTCCTGCCTCTGTCCCTTATAACATTGCTGCCATTCTTTTCAGTAATCCGTAAGCTAGAATTACTAAATACATCGTTGCTTTTGTTATGACAAATTATCTGTTGTATCAATTAAGAACCAAATCGATAAAAGATTACTTTCCCTTCATTTACGCTTTCTCTCGCACTCTTTCTTTCTTTATGCACTTCTATATAGCTAAGATTTGAGTGTCTGACCTATGTCCTTATCCTTTTTTTTTTTTTTTAACGTTTATTTATTTTTGAGACAGAGGGAGACAGAGCATGAACGGGGGAGGGGCAGAGAGAGAGGGAGACACAGAATCGGAAGCAGGCTCCAGGCTCTGAGCCATCAACCCAGAGCACGACGCGGGGCTCAAACTCACGGACCGGGCTGGAACTCACGGACCGCGAGATCGTAACCTGAGCCGAAGTCGGACGCTTAACCGACTGCGCCACCCAGGCGCCCCGTCATTATCCTTCTTTCCAAAGAAATTCTTTTAAAATTGGGGCGCCTGGGTGGCGCAGTCGGTTAAGTGTCCGACTTCAGCCAGGTCACGATCTCGCGGTCCGTGATTTCGAACCCCGCGTCAGGTTCTGGGCTGATGGCTCAGAGCCTGGAGCCTGTTTCCGATTCTGTGTCTCCCTCTCTCTCTGCCCCTCCCCCGTTCATGCTCTGTCTCTCTCTGTCCCAAAAATAAATAAACGTTGAAAAAAATTAAAAAAAAAAAAAAGAAATTCTTTTAAAATAATTTGAAGTCGGTCCTACTGGCAACAAATTATCTCATTTTGGGTTTGCCTGAGGAAGTCTTTATTTCTGTTTGACTTTTGAAAGACAATTTCCCTGGATACAGTCTTAATTCTAGGCTAGTCGTTTTGTTTTTGTTTTTCTTTTTACACTTTCTTCCTGCTTATTGGTTTCTGAAGAAAAGTCCCTGATAATTCATACGCTTGGTACTCTACCAGTAAGGGGTTTCTTTGTCTTCCTTCAAGATTTTCAACCTAAGTTTCATTTTTCTGCAGAATTGCTAGGCCTCAATGTGGCATTTTGGCATTTATCCTGTGTAGTTTTCTTAGGTTTCTGGATCTGGGATTCGGTGTCTGTCACTAATCCCTTGAAATATTTCTTCTGTTCCTTTCTCCACTTCTTTTCCTTTTTGTCTTCCCACATGCATTTGTTAGCTCTTGGGTGATTTCACCGTTCTTAAATATCCTGTTCCGTTCATAACTTTTCTTTTCATTTCCTCCATTCTTGTTTCTCTCTGCTTTTCAGCTTGAGAAGCATCATACTCATACGTTGAAGCCCTAACTCCCGGGACCTCAGAATGGGACCGGATTTGGGACGGGGCCTCTAAAGAGACAATTAAAGGTGAATGAGGTCATTGGGGTCAAGCATAGGGGTTGGCAGGTGTTGAGGTTTGTTAGAGCTGTAGCTGGCTAAGGCTAGATGTCCTCCGGGGTGATGTCATTCTGTAGTCCTGCCTCGAGTCCCCCCCCCCACTTTCTCTGGGCCCCCGTCTCCAGACGGAGACCTTCACAGGTGCTTCTCAGCTTTCCACCCAGTCAGGGAGGGGCAGGCCACAGGAAGATGCCCAGCTGCAGGGGAGGGGCTGCTTCCCTGCCCCCCGGGCCCCGAAGTCTCCCTCAAACAGGTGTGCCCAATAGCCTCCTTCGAGGGCAAGGCCTTTGTTGGTAACAGCTCTCTGGGCTTATTTCACAAGGGTTACTTTCCCCTCCCCCTGCTGGAGGCGCGAGGGGGTGATTCTCTGATCTGAGCACTTGATGGGGCTCCTGGCAGAAAATCCAGGCAAGGCAGGAGGTGGGGGTTCAGGGGGCCGGGGCAGAGTCCTGATCCCCCAATCCAGCCCAGGTTCAGGCTCCAGCAACCACCCCCCACGCCTTCAGTGTTCCCAACGAGCCCCAGCGGCAGCTTCCTCTCCAGCTAGGCCTGAGTCTACGCACTCGCCTGTGCCTCCTGTTGGCTTGGTGGTGGTTTGTCCCGTGACCTTGTGTCTTTGGGGGAGTCCAGGAAGGACTGTAGATGCTCAGTGCGTGCGGCTGTTTTCTTCTTGCGAGGGTGACCCTGGGGATTTGCAAGCCCCTCATCTCTCAGACCAGAGGCCGGAAGTCCACGGCGCTGCCTTTCCAGGTAAGTCTGACCAATACTTGGTTTTGATTTCCTGCTGTTACCAAACCGGAAAAGGTGGCTGAGCGTCTGCGTGTAAAAGGTAAAAGGCTGATTCACACTGCAAGGTGTTTACGACATGAGGGAGAATCGGTAGCAGGGAGGTTTGCCCCCTCAAAGGGGGGACAAGCTCCCCACCCCCAGCCCCTGGAACCGGCAGCTGGACACAGTGAGTCAGAGGCACTAAGGGTCCCTGTGCTTGAGCTGTGGTGGCAAAGCTCTGAGTAGCCCCCAGATTCGCGAGATTCTAATGCAGGACTTCTCAACTTTGACCACAACTTAGAATTTCCTGGAGATATTATGCAAATTCAGGTGCCCATAGGACACTCGAATTCAACTGACAATTATATCAGATTCTCTGAGGGATGATGATGAGGTTTATCAGTATATTTTAAAGCTCCATAGATAATGTTTACTCTCCAGGGGAGAATTGCAATTACTGTTCTGAAATATTCCAGGAACAAATTGAAATTGTGGTGAGCATTAACCAAGTTTTAAGTTAGGTTTTTTTTTTTAATGTTTATTTATTTTTGAAAGAGAAATAGAGAGTGGGGAAGGACAGAGAGAGAGGTAGAGAGAGAGAGAGGATCCCAAGCAGGCTCTCTGCTGACACCAGAGAGCCCAATGCAGGGCTTGAACTCACCATGAGATCATGACCTGAGCCAAAGTTGAATGCTTCACCGACGGAGCCACCCAGGTGCCCCCTAGGTTTGATTTTCTTTTTTTAATTAAAAAAAAAAATTGTAATGTTTACGTTTGAGAGAGAGAGAGATAGAGCGTGAGCAGAGGAGGGGCAAAGAGACAGGGAGACACAGAGTCCGATGAAGGCTCCAGGCTCTGAGCTGTCAGCACAGAGTCCAACACGGGGCTCGAATTCACGAATCGTGAGATCATGACCTGAGCCAAAGTTGGATGCTCAACCGACTGAGCCATCCAGGCACCCCTCCTAGGTTTGATCTTTTTTTATGTCCGAGGCAAAAATGTTGGTTTACCCCATCCCCAGTGACATGCACGTGTTCTTGAGTGGAAACCCACCACACACAAGCCCTTCTCCTTGATAGCAACTTACTGGTTTTTTGGTTTGTGGTGATTCACTTGGAGGGGTTACATCCCTCAACTCCAGAGTAAAGCGTCAATGGTGGGGCCAGCCTGTGGGTGGTGACCTGAAATGAGCAAATGCCATCAACATGATTCTTTGTTTTTCTTTTAATTTCATTTTTTAAAAATTTACATCCAAATTAGTTAGCATATAGTGAAACAATGATTTCAGGAGTAGATTCCTTAATGCCCCTGACTCATTTAGCCCATCCCCCCCCCCCACAATCCCTCCAGCAACTCTCAGTTTGTTCTCCATATTTATGAGTCTCTACTGTTTTGTCCCCCTCCCTGTTTTTATATTTTTGTTTCCCTTCCCTTATGTTCATCTCTTTTGTCTCTTCAAGTCCTCATATAAGGGAAGTCATGATTTTTGTGTTTCTCTGATTGACTCCTTTCACTTAGCATAATACCCTCCAGTTCCATCCACATAGTTGCAAATGGCAAGATTTCATTTTTTCCAATTGCCGAGTAATACTCCATCGTATATACAGACCATATCTTCTTTATCCATTCATCCATCGATGGACATTTGGGCTCTTTCCATACTTTGGCTATTGTTTGACACACGACATAGTGGGATAGGTTAGGAACAGGCACTTGTTCCCAAGACATCAATAAATGTGGCAGGACTCCAGAGACCCTGGTGGCTGACAATAAAATTGGAGGTACATGATTTTATGAAGGGGACCTCATAGTCTCACACACACACACACACACACACACACACACACACACAAGCTGAACTGATACCTAAAGAATGCGAATATGAAAAGGCACCAAATGGTCAGCTGTCCAGGCAACTCTGTGCCAACGTTAGCACAGGAAGAATGGCGTCTGCGGGATGTACTTGTGCGCAGAGGGCGTGAACACGAGCAACGTAAAGGGAATGGAGGCTGCTGTGGGTAACATTCTGATGCCAGGCTTTGTTAAACCTCTTGTACCTTGTGGGAACCATCGTGGCAGTATGGAAACATCACACGGGCAGGTTACAGAGAGAGCCCAAGCCGGTGGCTTATCCTTAGTGTAAACCGTATGCGAACCCTCAATCTGACAATGCCTGGGGCAGTGGGAAGCTTGGGACTGGTTTTCTCTGGTTGCGAATGGACCTTAGTGGCAAGTGAGGGTGGAGGCTGGAGCCGGGAAGGAGCCGAGAGTACAGAACAGATGTCTTCCAGCAGTCCTGTCCCCCAACATCCCTCCATCTGTGAACAAGATAGCAACTGTGGGCTTGACTTTGCTTTTTTTCTTTTTAGCATCTTATCAACTGGCATTTCAATCTTGTCTTCTGGTTCTTCTTCTGAATCATAACCGTGATAGAAAATAGAATCCCCAGATCCTCGTGATGCCGGGTCAGACCTAAATACCCTCAGGGTTCTGCCCATATTATTTTAAAGCCAATTGTAAATGAGATATTTCCAAAATGCTTTCTTAAAATATTATAGTTTTTGTCGACTTTACACCCAGGGTCGTCTTTGTCAAAACGCATCATCCTCCCTAAGCGACGAATGCCATTTTTATTTTATTCTCTGCTCCATACGTAACATAAAAATCATGCCTCCATCCTGTCTGAAAATCTTGCCCCGAACGTAATAATAAATACTAAGAAAAGAGGCATCTGGTTAGTGAATTTGGTGAATGCTGGCTTAAAGAAAGTTAAACAGGTTTTTCTTTTTTTCCTTTTTTTTAGTATCAATTAATTTTATCTTTTTCAATATATGAAATTTATTGTCAAATTGGTTTCCATACAACACCCAGTGCTCCTCCCAAAAGGTGCCCTCCTCAGTACCCATCACCCACCCCCATCGGCCCTCAGTTAAACAGGTTTTTCTAATGTAGAACCACGGAAAGCATGTGTTGTGAATCATGGAAAGAACACCTATTAACTAGAGCTAATCATGTTAACTATATAGTTGAATCCATAACTATAATATATTGTAGAATATAATTTATATGTATTTCAATTATATTTTAATATATTATAAATACACTGATGAATATAAATTAAAATATATATAAATATATTTCACATATACAGAATATATCCCTGAAGTCATTGGAATCAGAAACCTGTTTCGTAAATTTGACAAACAGGTGATTACGTTTGAGAAATCCATCCTTCACTTGTTTCTAGGCATGAATATTTCCTTTACAATATATTCAAGCTCTCCTAGCTATCATACCTTTACAACGGGAAGATGCTTAAACACATGTGATCATCTCTTTTCTCTATGAAGATTGTGGCCACTTAGAGGCCACAGATCCTGCTCGTCACTACTGGGGTTCAAGCCACATGCTCGTCAGGGTTCTAGTCAGATGACCTCATGCTAGGGACTTCGGACTGTCAACACCCTTAGTTCTCCATGGAAGCAGCTGATAATCATGCTGCTTTAAGTGAGTTAGTAGCACCAGGGAAATGGGAAGAGTTGTGGAGGGAAAGAGTTTGAAGTTGTTCAGCGTTTCACCTTAAGCTGCTGCACAATGACATTTTTAGGAAGTGCTTTAACCATAACTCTCTATTTCCTCCTATTTCCCAACCGCATTGATACGGTGCATTGAAACAGCAGAGAATCAAAATCAGGGCTGAAGGAGAGGGGTAGACATTTCATATGGTCTCAATCAATACTGAAGATACAGAGGGTAAGAAAAACGGAGGCTGGTTACCCACGGACGGGGACGGTGGGGCACCGCACCCAGGGGAAGGTGCATGCCTCCAGAAGTCCCAGATCCCCACATATACTCACCCCTCGTCAACTCACGATTCCTCAGTTCAAACTTCACGCCGGTGATATGACTTCAGGGGCCAGTTTATTTGGGCAAACTGATCAATGGGCTGTAGAAATCTTACATGTGCCAAAGTTATATTAGGAAACGAGTTAAGATACTCCCATATCAATGTAAAGTCCATCATTAATGACATAGGTACTGATTGCTCCTTATGTGCTCACAGTCGAAATTGATCTGTTTTAATGCACAATCTTACTAAAATGTTAGTGCAATACGTGTGCGTGTGTGTGTGTTCGATTTCCTAGAATTTATAGACTATATTCAAACCGAATTCCTCGTTAGGCATTTAGGAAGTTTATAACAGGCCTAAGGAGTTAGGGCAGTAATAAGTTCATTTAAATCCATTAGAGATCCTCTGTGTAAATACCTCCAACAAAATACAGTAATACATCTTCTTTGTATATAAAAATGTAAATGATAAACAGTGCATTTTATAGTCTGTGGATTAAAACTATTAGGTGTCATTAGACTCAGTAAGTTAGTAAATGAAAATGAGCTCAGAGTAGGTACCGTTTCTGATAGCAGTATCTGGAGTGCCTGGAACATATTGTTGATTCAATGGGAAAGGAACTTATCCTTTGTGATTTCAATTGTATGTGTGCAAATTTAAGGAGGCAGAGACGGAAGTCTGGAATATGAAGTGGGTTACAGAGTTTCCTTTTCCATTGGTGCAGACTTTCTCCTCTTCTCGCAGGGCCAGTAGGGGCTCGCCTGCATTCTACTGTCCGTCACTACGAACTTGCCTGGTCTCCAGATTTCACATACATGGAATCATACAGGACTTGTCTTTTTGTACCCGTCTTCTCTCACTTAGCATAATGTTCTTAAAGTTCATCCGTGTGGTCGCAGCTATCAGAACTTCATCCTTTCTTACGGCAGAAGAATAACCCATTCTCTGTATAGACCACACTCTGCTTATCTGTCCACCCATCAATGGACACTTGGCTTGCTTGGACCCTTTTGCTCTCATGAATGATACTGCAGGAATGTCGGTGTGCAAATATCTGCTAAAGTCCCTGCTTTCAGTCCGTTTGCCTCTGTATCTTTTAGTGAAATCTGAGTCCTGTAGTAAGTCTGTTTCACTCTTTGAAACACGGTTTCCACAGCAATCTACATTTTACATTCCCACCCGCAAGCTATAAGGATTTTATTTTTTCTCCTCCCTCTTTCTCTTTTCTATTATAGCCATCTTAATAGGTATGAAGAGGTATCTCATTGTGGCTTTGATTTACAAAGTCACTTCCCTAGTGATTAATCCTGCTGAGCATCTCTACTGGGCGTGTCTGACTGTTTACATATCTGACCTCTGCTTTTGCTGATTCACAAAGTTTGTGTTTCTGTTTTTACTCATCTTGAGGTATTTTCTCATTTCCCTTATGATTTATTGTTTGGCCCGTTGGTGGATTCTGTATCCCTTTAGTTTCCGTTTATTTATGGATCCCCCAGTTTTCTGTCTGTTGCTACTTTCCCGTTGTATTCCACAGTGGTTGGAAAGGGCATTTTGCATGATTTCAGTTCATTTTTTTAAGTGGTTACGTAGTTGAGAGAGAGCGCGCGCACGTGCACATGCGTGGGGAGGGGCAGAGAGAGAGGGGAACAGAGGATCTGAAGCAGGATCCATGCTGACAGCAGAGAGCCGGATGTGGGGTTTGAACTATGAGGTCATGACCTGGGCTGGTGGAAGTCGGATGCTTCAACGACAGAGCCCCCCGGGAGCCCCTGTATGATTTCAAATAAAAAAAAGTATATCAGCACTTGTTTTGCAGCCTAGATGACATGTGGTCTGTTCTGGTGAGTGCTCTGTATGCACTTAGAACATGGCGTGTTTTGCTGCTGCCTGTTGGATGTTTCCAGAAACCTGTACATCTAATTTGCATACAGTGTTGTTTACATTCTGTTTCCTCACTGACCTGCTTGTTCTGTATTGAAAGTGGGTTCTGATGAGTCCAACTGTTGTAGAACTAACTCTCTCTCTCTCCCCCCCTCCCCCCCCCCTCTCTCTCCCCCTCTCTCCCTCTCCCCCTCTCCCCCTCTCTCCCCATCTCCTCCTCTCTCCCCCTCCCTCCTCTCTCTCTCGAATTTGGTCAGATTTTTTCCTTTGCCTATTATGGGACTTTGTTGTTAGCCACATGCAATTGTTACATATTCTTAATGGATTGCAACTTGTAACAATAGATAATATACTTCTTTGTCTCTTGTGGCTTGTAAACTTTTACTATTTATGTCTTTCCCTATGTCTGTATTTATCTTTTTTACTTAAAATCTGTTTTGTCTGCTAATA